CTTCTTAAATCTTTGAATAATTCCCAAATGTTGTAAATCTCTAGTTTAAATAAATTAAACAAAGACCCAATTCTGCAATGGTCAGCCTGTTTATTCATGAGAACGCTCTGCAACAAAATGGTTGTACAATCTTTTTATACACACACGTCAGAGGAAAAACCCCACCAGGCATGTAGCGTTGGACCCATACCTCACCATCTGCTGGGTCACTGCTTTCTCCAGAGACCTGAACACAAGACCTCTCACACACGGGATTAGGCAACATTCACATAACACCAGCATGAACATTCCAGCCAAATAAAGTTAGTGAGTTATCAATACCGGAGTTCTCAGCCAGTTCGTTCACCAGCGTGGTGAGTCCCTGAAGAGCCTTGGTCACTGACCCATCAGGTGCTGTATTATTGGGGATGAAAGTACAGCACATAGATCCAAACATAACACAAACCCCGCCCCTCTCAGCCGAAAGCATATCTAAAGCTATCCTATTCTGCCATGCCATTAAGCTAGTTGTTGCTGTCTGCTCAGCCAATCCCTTTATCGCGTGTGGTTAATAAATCTCTGCTGGTTGTAGTAAATGTAATTTAAAAGACTTGACTCAAACCCAGGCGCGATCTGATTCCTAGCTTTGAATTCTTCTGGAACCCCTCAAGGTACTCCTATCCCATCGATATATATCCTCTCATCAAAGGATCCCGGAAGGAGGTCTCGCTTTTTACGCGACTACCCATCAGTCTCTGACATGTTAGGATCGTTTTATGAGGGTGAAAGATAAGGGTACGAGGTAGGGCATCTTAGCTCTTGCTCCCACACAGAGAATGTCATGACCAAAGACACCATGACTAATCTCTCCTCTTTGGACTGGAACCTGTGCATACAATTCACATGTAGTCTGGGTCACAGTCTGTCACCACCACACAACCACCTGATGTCAGCGCTGGCCTGGTTTTGATCCCTAAAATCCTCTGGCTGCAACAAAGAGGAGAGATTAGTCATGGTGTCTTTGGTCATGACATTCTCTGTGTGGGAGCAAGAGCTAAGATGCCCTACCTCGTACCCCATCTTGTCCATCCTAGAAAAGCAATAATACGCCTCCACTGATACTTCAAAAGAGGGTAATTTAGGTCTAGGAGACTTTGATACTGGGGGATACAGATAGTGCAAGTTAACACAAGACTCATTCACCACATTCCCAAGTGGTTTGAACAATTTAACCATGCAGGATAAACCTGACAGAGTGTTAAAGCCCGTCAAAGGGAACGGAGTAGTGGTTAACCCAGGTTTAGCTGTTCCACAGGCGTAACAGTCCTCCTTGGACATAGTTCTTGCCGTATACTGCCAACCATAGATTCGGGTCCTTATAACCAGTCTCCACCTCTAATACCTCCTCAGGTCTATAGTTTGCACTATCTTCATCACGGCCCCAGTCTCACTCCCTCCCTCAGAAATGTTTACTCTATAGGGTGCCCCAGTTGAAGAGGATATTTCATCTGTCGGGACTGTGTATGGAGATTCACATATCCCCCCCTCTCGGTATGAGCAACTACATGGTCCCAGGATGTACATGGTGACATACATACTGTAGACTGTAGGGGATTTCCCTCAAGCCTGGCAAAAAAGAAAAAATACTCCCCCTCAGAACACATCGGATAACTCCACGTTTCATTAAATTCACTAAACCTATAAATAACAAACCCATAACCACTTTCCGGTAATCTACTGATTTAAACGATTTATTCACTCTATGTGATTAAAATGACAAATAAATCCCCCTACTATCACAATGGTTTGTCCTCTTACCATCTGATACGAAATGACGTTCCTTAATGGAAACCCTAAATTGGCTTTGTACAATATTATAACTCACGTCTTTAACCACATTACTTCTGGTCAGTTTATTCAGAAAACCCATATTAATTATGTCTCACCCATGACGTATGTCTACGTTTGGGTGAGCAAGTTAATATATAATTATTATTCCAATTATTATTTTAGAAAATCTCTAGCCTCTCATTCAACACAAATCCCCTTCATCAAATATACTCCCAACAGAACTGACAAAAAACACACAGACTGTGATTTCCAGGACACTGCCCCTTTGTTCTGGCCTCCTATCTCCCCGAGAGTTGGCACTCCCTTCATGTCTCTCTTACTCCTCTTTTCTCTCCCATTCTGCTCTTGGTAAACTGCATACCTTTTAACCTCAATCAGTGTTTCTGTGCCCCAGCCATTCAGGGTATTTTTTATTGTTTGAGAAATTTCAGGCCTCATTCTGCTTAAAAATGTTATTTTTAATTGTTAACTGCTACCTGTTTGCACTCATGGATTTTAGAAAAATCAGCATGTCTCTGAGATTGTTACATAGTTGATTAAGTTTGTCTCGATACTCTCCGTCTACGGCCCACTGTAAAATAACTCTGTCCCCCCTTCCTGGGGTCCAGTCTCCCTTCACAGTTGCCCAATCCTTTCCTACCACTATCTGCAATCTCAATGGTTGTGGCCTGTTCTCTTACAGTATTTGCACGGCGCCTCACACTATTTGGCAAAATACCCTTCCTGGCTACAGTTAAAGCACTTATTCTGCTCATGATGGATTGCATATATTTTAACCTCAGCTAGTGGTGCCGTTCCCCACCCTATCAAAGTATTTTTAATGGTCCTGCTTATCTCTGGTCTCATTCCACTGAGGAACGCTATTTTTAATTGCTGATGGTAGAACGTATCATTCCCCTGTCTCTGGTCTGGCTCGGGTATGCCACTGTTTGCGTTGAACACATCCTTAAGCCTCTATAAGTATTGGCTAACAGTCTCACTATCCTCTTGTTTACACTCATGTACTTTAGAGAAGTCTGCATGATGATGGTAATGTTCCCTGAGGCTATTACACAATTCAGTTATTTTCCCAACATACTCTCCGTGATCGGCCCATGGCAAAAGTGCCCTCTGGGCATCCCCTGGAACCCACTGGCCTCTAACGGCAGCCCAATCCTTTTTTGGGGTGGGTCATTCCTTCTACCGCTCGGGCCACGTCCCTCTGTGTCCATGGCCCGTATACATCTAAGGTTGCTGGGGCCCCTTCATTCCCTGCCAATGGATTAGGTAAGGCTATCATTGGGTACTGGCCCCCTCCTACTCTCTCATCTCCTGACTCATACTGACTCCCTCCTGAGCTCAGCTCCTAACTGGACTTTTGTTGTGGGGTTCAAGTCTCCTCAGGGACCTGGGTCTTTCACCCTTCGGTCCCTTGACCCCCCTATTGTACCCTAGTACTGTAGTTACTTTTTAAGCCTTCTCTTTCCGTCTCTCTCTCTCTCTCTCTCTCTCTCTCTCTCTCTCTAATTTCTGCAATTCCAATTAGGTTTGCTGCTGTTGTTCCAAAAGTTTCTTAAGAACCTCAACTGTACCTTCTTCCTTTTCTTTATCCTCACCTACTCCCTGTCCTCCCTCAGCTTCCCCTTGGTTCTGGTAAGGGGGTGGAGGCTCCAAAGCAGCAGCCTGCTGTGACACCCTTCCCCTCACCACCACTGCTTCATCGTCTGGATTTTCCCTCCAGGCCTGATCTGCCAAGGAGGGGTATAATCTGGATCCAGACCGTTCTATAGGGGGAGCTGTGGGTTCTGTCTTAGACCTTCCTTTCCTACTTACTGCTTCTTTCTCTTTAACTTCCTTTTTCTGTCTCTCATCCTCCTCTCTCTTTCGAGACTCCGAGAGCCACACCCTGGCCGTATCTAGCCCTTCCACTCGCTCTCTCTCTGCTCTGCCTTTACACACCTTGTGCATCTGTTTTACCATGGATTCGAGTTTGTCTGCGTCCAGACGTCCCTCAAAACCATACCTCTCCCTCCACCTGGTCACATAATGGAGGTTCCTTCTATCCCTGGACTCCATAAATCTTGTAATAATTCACTCAATAATTATTCTCCTTTGGACTTATTATTAGGTGCGACTTCTGAGCAAATGTTATGATCAACTTTTGTAATTAACCATTTAAATTATTCAACCCGCAACCCAAAGTGTTTTAAGACCCCAGTTTCATGAAACGGATGGGACAACCATTCTTTCTCACGCGACCTATTTTAGTCCCTTCCTTGAAACAATTAATTATCGCAACTTTCAATGGATCATTAGGTCTCACACGTATACAACCTTATATGATTATTAGTTAACACTATTGGTAACCCGGAGTTTGTAAGGCTCCAGTTTTCACTGAAATGGCTAATCTACAGTTGTTTATGACTTTTGACTTGTTTAATGTATCTATCTCACACGATAATAGTTAATTCCCTCCTTGATATTTATTGACGGTCCTGGACCGTCTCATTATCACCTCTCCCTACTGGAAGTTTCACCCCCGTTTTTTATTTATCTATAATACTGCCGCATTGGGTTTTCTCTAGATAAACGTCTAAAAACGCTGAAGTTTACGTCCTTCCTGTGTACTCTTGACAATCCTAGATTGAACGCAACACAAGGTCAGTTTATTTTTGGTAATGGCCTCAACTACCTGGAGTCATGCTAGGACCCCATCCCATTTTTGATCTTACACACGCACACACACACACACACACACATACACACATGTTCTTATCATAGCCTACTCCTTGCTCGGGCAGGCTGCATTTTTTCTCTATCGCTGTTCTCACAATATCCTGCAAGCCTTTCACTCCCCTTCCCTGTGTGTTTTTGGAACCAGTCTCCTGTTATTGGTTTCAATCGTTTTGCACTTCTGCTTGCCTAATTATAAGACACAAATACTCTGTTGCTGGGCAAATATGCATCTTATATAAACACATTTGATTAACTCTCTAAGTTCTAGTCTACTAGTCATACATTATTAGTTTAACTGAGGGTGTGACAGTTTAGTAATCTCTTACTCACACATTTCTTTATCACTCTCTCTCTCTCTCTCTCTCTCTCTCTCTCTTTCTCTCTCTCTCTCTCTCTCTCTCTCTCCTCTCTCTCTCTCTCTCTCTCTCTCTCTCTCTCTCTCTCTCTCTCCGTAGAATGACTACAGGAAGTTGTCCATGCAGTGTAAGGACTTTGTAGTGGGAGTTTTGGACCAGTGCAGAGACACAGAGGAAGTGGAGGCCATCTTGAATGGAGACGTGGACAATGCCCCGCCCAGTGACAACAACCGCCCCTGCCTCGAACGCGTCAAACTGGCCATCAAATATGACGTCAAGAAGGTGAGACACCCCAACCAGGACCGCAACCTGACCGCATTACTTGACACTGCTGTAAATGACCAAATATTTACAGTATGTTCATGTTTTTTATGGTTTAGTTTACATGGCATCATTTCTATCTGATAGCATTGTTTGTTCATGTAGCATTTGACCACATTTGTGTATTTGTTAACAGGTGTATTCGGAGTGGGAAATGTTGATTTATGTTCAAGCTAGAACATCTCACAGGGAAAACATTGGATCAGTGATGTAGTATTATAGTAGTGATGCAGTACACACATGTCTGTCTGTGTGTGTGTGTGTGTGTGTGTGTGTGTGTGTGCGTGTGTCCCGAGGCCTGGTAGCATTTGTAAATATCAGACAAGCCTCTGTGTCAGAATGCTAATCCCTTTCATACCAGAGGTGTTTCAGCTAAATGTCAAACCAAGTCCGATCTCCCTACATCACCCGGGACTCACAGAGACACACACACACACAGACACACAGGCACACACACTCATACACACACATTTCAACAAAAAAGGTAAATAAGTTTCTCTGACCTTATGGTCGAACATCCTGTATGGAAACATTGTGACACATAGTACCATAAGGCTCATACTACCTCAGATATCATCTAAGGCAGCGGTTCACAACTCCGGTCCTCGAGTACCCCCAACAGCACACAAAAAACACCTGGTTCTCAAACCTCGCCTCATGGACCCCCAGCCGTTCCATGTATTTGATCTATTCCAGCGCTAACACACCTGATTCAACGTGTCAACTAATCATCAAGCCTTTGACTAGGTGAATCAGGTGAGCTATTTCAGGGCTACACCTAAATTGTGAAACGTCCATCCTGTGTGTAAGCTTCCAGGGAAACAGTAAAGTGTAGTGCCTGGGGTGTTTTCCCAAAGCAGGGAGCGTGACCACAGCTGGGTGTGTTAATCAACCTGCCAGATGAGGGGGAGGACAGGTTGCCAGGACAACCAGGTGGCCTTGAATGCTATAGGCAGGCAGGCACCCACTCACGCACACGTGCACACACACTCACACACACACACACACAAACACACACACAGCATGGGCACTCTCAGACAGACTTAGACATATTGACATACAAACTGGTGACAGGGTTCCCATGATGGGTCATTGAAGATGATTGCAATCACCAAGGGGATGGAGGAATGATGGACACTGTCTCATTTTAATTGTTCGTTTCTGGGTTGAAGTCATAGTGTGTGTGTGTATGTGTGTGTGTGCATGTGTGTGTGTGCTGTGGTTAGTCACAAATGATCCTTGAATGTCAGTAGATGGCCTCGGCTGATTGAGTGATTAACCTGTTGAGGGAACACACACACACACACACACACACACACACACACACAGTGGAAATCTCTCGCTCTCTCTCAAGTCGCTCTGGATAAGAGCGTCTGCTAAATGACTAAAATGTAAATGTAAATGTAAATTCAATTCAAAGGACTTTATTGGCATGGGAAAGATATGTTTACATTGCCAAAGCAAGTGAAATAGATAATAAACAAAAGTGAAATTAACAATAAAAACTGAACAGTAAACATTACACTCACAAAAGTTTCAAAGGAATAGAGACAAATTTCAAATGTCATATTATGGCTATATACAGTGTTGTAACGATGTGAAAATAGTTAAAGTACAAAAGGGAAAATAAATTAACATAAACATGGTTGCCCTTTTCTTATGGCAACAGGTCACAAATCTTGCTGCTGTGATCTCTCTCTCTCTCCCTCTCTCTCTGTGTGTAGTTTGTGGCGCACCCTAACTGCCAGCAGCAGCTGCTAACTATCTGGTATGAGAACCTGTCAGGTCTGAGGCAGCAGTCCATTGGGGTCAAGTGTTGGACCGTGGTAGGGGTCACCGTGGGACTGCCCTTCCTGGCTATCGCCTACTGGATCATGCCCTGCAGCAAGGTAATGCAAGTATGCACTGCAGGTACACACACACACATGCACACACACACTAGAGATCCTCTAAGGGATCATAATGTGGTTAGGTTGTCCGCATTCTGAATTAATGCCTAAACTTAACCGTCGAAATTTGACGAAGGGGGATTAGATTAAGTGGGGAGGGAGGGGAATGGTGACAGAAATTGAAGGAGCGTGGAGAAGGATGGATACGAGGGAGAGAGAAGGAATGGACAGAGAGAGAGAGAGAGAGAGAGAGAGAGAGAGAGAGAGAGAGAGCGAGAGAGAGAGAGAGAGAGAGAGAGAGAGAGAGAGAGAGAGAGAGAGAGAGACATGGGGAGACATGGGGAGACTGGGGTAGTCGGACAGAGAGACAGACAGACAGAGGGATGGAGGGAATGGGAGGGGCGGGGTGGGGGTCTCAGCTGATGATGTGTGTCATCATGGTGTGTGGGTTTAATAGGACAATAACAGGGGAAATACAGCAGGGTATCTCTCTCCCCACCTGAAACTACTGAGAAAAACAGTGGAAAAATCCCAAATGGCACCCTATTCACTGCACTACATTTCACCAGAGCCATGTGAGCCCTGGTCAGAAGTAGTGAACTACATTATATAGGGAATAGGGTGCATTTTGGGACGTAGCCAGTCCCTGTCCAAAAAATCAGATAGGAAAAACACACACACCTGTTTGATTAGGTTTAGATGGCGGTGTGTGTGTTGTGAACAACACCCTTGATCTATCAGTTGGTTGATATCGGACTGATTTTAATGACCAGTATTGGCTAATGGCCTTTAATAAAAACAGAGGGACACATATAAGCAGACACACACACACACACACACACACACACACACACAGCACAATGGATGTGATTGCTGTGTGTTGTTAAATGAACAACCTGGCCAATACTGTTTCACCCCCCTCCTTCTCAGCCTTCCTGCATATTGTTGCTGGTATTTTTCTCAATGGGTGTACTTATGTGAATGTTCACATTCACAAATACATGTGTTTTGAGTGCATACTGAATGTACATTTTCAGTGTGTCGATCTGCCTGTGTTTGTTAAGGCGTGTCTCCTCCCTATCTCTCCCATCCTGTTGAGACATAGCTGGATTCTCCAGGGTTAGTATTGAATAGTAGAACACACAACAAGGCAGTGTGAAATTCACATCTCTCTCTCTTATTTCTCTCTGTCTTATTTACTGAGTCTCTCCTCACTGCTTCTGATGTAGGGGAGATAAATAATAAGGGTGAAACTGACACTGAATGATCTTCACACACAGTAACACACTTTAATGTCTGGACATGGGGCCCTGAAGTGTCAATAAAACATTTTTTATGTTGTCTACACTCCAATGGCAAAAATGTTCAGATTCAAAGTCTGACTGAACTGATCCCTGGAAGAACCTGGTTAGTTTTTTTGCCTCAGGTTCCAGATCATAGTTTAGACCAGTTCCGTGTTTCCCAGTTCCGTCTAGTTTATTCCTCCTCCTGACAGTGATACTGTTTACTTTAACTGACTTTATAGGGGAAATGTATTTGCAATATCATGTAAACATTTAACACGGTACTACATTTACATTTGAGTCATTTAGCATATGCTCTTATCCAGAGCAATCATCTTAAGTTAGCTAGGTAAGACAACCACAGATCACATTCATAATAAGTCAAACCTTTTCCTCAGTAAAACAGCTATCACCTAAGGCGCAAGTAACCAGTAGGGTGTTTTTTGTCTTTGTCCAGCTGGGTCAGATCCTGAGAAGTCCCTTCATGAAGTTTGTGGCCCACGCCGTTTCCTTCACCATCTTCCTGGGCCTGCTGGTCATCAACGCCTCTGACCGCTTCGAGGGGGTCAAGAATCTGCCCAACGAGACCATCACTGACCACCCTCGCCAGGTGTTCCGGGTCAAGACGACTCAGTTCTCCTGGACCGAGATGCTCATCATGAAATGGGTGCTGGGTGAGCAGAAGAGAGGGAGAAGGGGAGGGAGGGAGGGAGAGGGGAGGAATGGAAAGACAGATGAATGGAGAGAGAGGGGGGGGGGGGGGGGGGGGGGGGGAGAGGGAGAAAGAGGGAGAAATAAGGACAGGGGGGCATAAGATCAACCACTAAAAAAACATCAGCTGGTTTCTCCGTCTCCTCACACTTTCTCTCTCTCACTTCTTAACATAGCAATATCATTTGTTTGTGTGTTTCCAGCAGGGATGGGGAGTGACTGATTGTCTGTAATCAGTTACTGATGACAAAAAAACTGTAACTGTAATCAGTTACGTTACCAGCAAAAACATCGCAATCAGATTACAGATACTTTTGAAAAACTAGATGATTACTTCCTGAATTACTTTTAAATCCAGAAAGGATGTTTGCGAAAAAATACATTATGACACCTTTCTGTTTTCTCAATGACATTCAACCTAGAATTCAAAATATTGTTCCTCCTGAGTGAGTCTGACCACAAGTCAGAGCCCACTATGATGACACACCAAATGCAGTATATGGATAATTTTTATCTTCTTCTAATGCCTCTTAAGGGGAAAGTAATCCAAAAGTAGGTAATCAGATTATATTACTGAGTTTGGGTCAACCAAAAGTTACATTACTGATAACAATTTTGGACAGGTAACTATACTGAACAAAATATAAACGCAACATTTAACAATTTCTAAGATTTTAGTGAGTTACAGTTAATGGAAGGAGATCAGTCAATTGAAATCAATTAATTAGGCCCTAATCTATGGATTTCACATGACTGGGCAGGGGCACAGCCATGGGTGGGCCTGGGAGGGCATAGGCCCACCCACTTGGGAGCCAGGTCCACCCACTGGGGAGCCAGGCCCAGCCAATCAAAATTAGTTTTTCCACACAAAAAGGCTTTATTGTAGACAGAAATACTCCTCAGCACCCCGCCTCCCCCTCCTCAGACGATCCCACAGGTTAAGAAGCCGGATGTGGAGGTCCTCGGCTGGCGTGGTTACACATGATCTGCGGTTGTGAGGCCGGTTGGATGTACTGCCAAATTCTCTAAAATGACGTTGGAGGCGAAGTTGGAGAAATTAACATTAAACTCTCTGGTGGACATTCCTGCAGTCATGCCAATTGCATGCTCCCTCAAAACTTGAGACATCTGTGGAATTGTGTGAAAAAACTGCACATTTTAGAGTGACCTTTTATTTCCCCCACACAAGGTGCACCTGTGTAATGATCAGGCTGTTTAATCAGCTTCTTGATATGCCACACCTGTCAGGTGGATGGATTATCTTGGCAAAGGAGAAATGCTTGCTAACAGGGATGTAAACAAATTTGAGCACAACATTTGAGAGAAATAAGCTTTTTGTGCGTATGGAACATTTCTGGGATATTTTATTTCAGCACATGAAAAATGGGACCAACAGTTTACATGTTGCTTTTATATTTTTGTTCAGTAGTAACTGTAACAGATTACATTTAGAAAGTTACCTACCCAACCCCGGTTTCTAGTAATGGCAGCATTCTCTTCCCACCAAGAGTAGTTCTGTCCTTGAGCTGTTCTTGCTTATTAATGTTCTGTATTATGTCATGTTTTTATGTGGATCCCAGGAAGAGTAGCTGCTGCTTTGCAACAGCTAATGGGGATCCAAATACAATAACTTGATAACAAAAGCAATTTCAGCCAGAGTGTGTGTGAGCTGTTTAGTGTGTGTGTGAGTGTGAGTGTGTGAGGTGTGTATGGGGCCATCTGAGGGAGAGAGGGGTCATTTTAATTATGTTTGCATTCTTTGTGGCACAGCGATGATAATGATTAGAGAAGCTTTTCAATAATTTTCTCCCTGTTTTGGCTGCAGAGATACACAGATGTGTCTGTGTTGGTGTGATACCGTAGTGGTGTTTATGTATTTGTTGGGCTCTGAATGTAGTTTTAATACGACTGTGCAATGTAGTTTCAATACGACTGTGTACCTACCAGATATTATCTCTTGGAAGTATGTGTTATTTTAATGTGTGCTCTCTCTCTCTCTCTCTCTCTCTCTCTCTCTCTCTCTCTCTCTCTCTCTCTCTCTCTCTCTCTCTCTCTCTCTCTCTCTCTCTCTCTCAGGTATGATCTGGTCGGAGGTCAAGGAGATCTGGGTGGACGGTCCTAGAGAGTACATGATGCACCTGTGGAACGTGTTAGACTTCGGCATGTTGTCTATCTTTGTGGCTTCGTTCACCGCTCGGTTCATGGCGTTCCTCAAGGCCTCCAAGGCCCAGCTGTACGTAGACCAGTTTGTCACCAACGAAGACATCTGCAACGCATCACTACCTACAGAGGTAGCCTACTACACCTATGGTGCGTGGACATATACAGTTGGCATTCTCATTTTCTACCCTTCTACGAGGGTCTACATCAGGGTTCTTCAATTCCGGTCCTGGAGGGCCGAAACACCTCTGTTTTTCATCCTCTCCTTCTAATCAGGGGCTAATTCAGTCCTGGGACACCAGGTGAGTGCAATTAACTACCAGGTAGAAATAAAAAACAGAAGTGTTTCGGCCCTCCAGGACCGGAATTGAAGAACCCTGGTCTACATTAACAACTGTGGACCAGTGCCCTACCCTTCCCAGTGCACTGCTCGCGCTCCCTAATCACTGCTGTCATCTTGTGGTGTAAGGCTGTTATGACATGGCTGTTTACAGTAAGCTAAAGTCTGCATACGCATGCACATGATAGCCTTTTTCAAAGAAAGTGTTATAAAAAAAAAAAGGGAAAAAATGGGGTAGATCAGCTTTAATATTGAAGATAGATTGTGGCTTCAAACAATGTAATTGTCTGCATCATTTCCAATCTCCCATATATATATTTTTGGTAATATATACAGTATATATAAAATATATTTTCCTTTATTGTTTTCCCCTAACCCTACCACCCCTCCCCTAATTGGAGTAAACTAATGGACAACAACACTTAGGCTTCTACTTCCAGCTTGTACATAATATATACATTTTACAGACACAGTATATTTTACAATAGTTATCTTTTGTTTGTTTTTAGTCCCATCCTTCAGCTACCCTCGACTCCTCCCATCTATCTCTGAACACCATCCAGTTTTGATTACTAAGTGTTACACCTGGCCTTTGTATTGCACTATGCTGACACTCCAAGTTGTCCAATATTTCTTGGTAGTCCAAAACATATTGCTATCAGGTTGTAAATCACAGCTGGCCTGATACATTGTTTGCTGCCTCGATTCGGGATGCACTGTTTTAGTTTCAATGACTCAATATTTTGGACAAAAAAGGCTGAATGTAACTAAGGCTGGGAATGTCAATACATTCCAACTAGCAAGGGCAATGATCACAAGTCAGTCATAACGTGGCTAATAGGCTAGCTTATATATTTATGTAGCAAACTAAAAACATGGAGCCTAACGTTAGCTAGCTGCTAGGAGGATGTCATGTAATTGGAGGAGTGGGTGAGTGACTGACTTTTTTTCCCTTCATTTTTCGGTGGCTACACAGCTAGAGATGCAGGTGTCGTTTGGTTAGCTAGAAAGAAATGTGAATTGCTTTGCTAACCAGCTTTGCTAGGGCGAGTAAAATGGTCAGAGTGAGGTGTTCTCTTTATCCAGTTAGCTTGGGTGCTTGGCTGGGACAAGCGTGCATTGGCCGTAAAGCTGCAGAAGGACGAGCAGGCGACTTACTATTCCCCATCGTTTATCAGTGCAATTTTGATGGCCAACTAGCTGAAAAAGTTTGAGAGGGTTTATTTAATGATCCTTCATTAGATTTTAGCTCATCTTGGTCTGGCTAGCATTAGTTGTTGATCTTGTTGTTGTTGATGTGCATATAGGGAAAGATAGCCTACCTTTTTATGGTTGTTTGATCAATAGGACTGTAAAGTTCCCAAATGTAAGAGAACACCCGTGGTATTTAAATATTTTCAGAAATCCACTCAGGTGTGTTTTGTGGCTTTTGCCGAATGCATTCTAATGATCTAAAGTTGCACTGTTGCAACTACCTGTAAACACACAGTTCAGTTCAAAGTGAATGATGGCAGGCCCGTGTGGCAAATGGCTTGTTTGCATAAAGGCCTATTGTAGTTCTGATTGGCTATGGCGCACCTGTCTGAGTCTGGTCCTGGACAGATGTTTTTATTAGGTTTTATTTACTGCAGTGTCTATTAATTGTCCAAACGCAAGGCCGCTTTCCCACTCTATATTGCTATAGAATTTTCACAAATGCCTTACTCTATGTCATTCTCAAACATTCTAAGAATTTATGAAAAAGTGAACATGACCATATCTAAGTGCTCACTTGTCAGAATATGTAAAAAGTGTAATATTCTTCCTGGGGGTGTATATGAACAGATTTCATGTTGCTAAAATGCTGTCAGTCCCTCTTTAAAGTTAGGCATTAACTCAGAATGGTTAAGGTAAGAGTTAAAGTTTGGGATAGGCTTAAAACAAACATCTCAAAAACAACATTCTATCGCTGGATTTGAACTTGCAACCTTTGGAATCAGATGCTTACAATCATCTGCCATCTCTGCCCCCACAACATCCTGGCAAAACCGACTTGAAGGTAACAGCGCTCACTGTTGCCCCTTGTATCTGGTGACCTGTCTGCTTTCTTTTTTGGCTACTTCTCTCTCTTCCACACACTCTTCTATTTTTCATATTCTCTCCCTACGGTTTGTCTCTGTGTTCCTATCCCTATGTTTCTCATGCATATCCTGCTCTACGTCTTCCTCTCTCACTCTCTTTTTCTAACTGTCCCACCCCTTTCTCTCTCTCTTTTCCAACTCCCTCCCTCTCTATATATCGTTTTCCGTCCCTGTCTTCCCTTTCCCCCTCCCTCCTCTCTCTCTCCTTCACCTACAATCCAGTTATTTCAATGACATTTAATTCCAACTCTCTCTCCCCCCACCCCTCCCCCTCTCAGCCAGGAATAAGTGGCATCCATCTGACCCCCAGATCATCTCAGAGGGTCTGTATGCCATCGCTGTGGTGCTGAGTTTCTCCCGCATCGCCTACATCCTACCAGCCAACGAGAGCTTCGGCCCCCTCCAGATCTCCCTGGGCCGGACGGTGAAGGACATCTTCAAGTTCATGGTCATCTTCATCATGGTATTTGTGGCCTTCATGATCGGCATGTTCAACCTCTACTCCTACTACCTAGGAGCCAAGTACAACCCTGCCTTCACCACGTGAGTGAGAAAATACAATACACATACTGTACACACACACGTGCGCATACACGCACGCGCGCACACTGACACGTACACAAATGGAAGATTAGTGAGATGAGTGAAACACATCATTTGTTTTTTTGTCAAGTGATTTAGGAAAGATACTGGTGGAATCCCACAAGGTCAGCTTTCTTTCAAAGCTCTCTTCTGATAGGACAGGTGAAAGTAGTGTCTGGCTACATCTCTGTCCAGTTTATCAGTGGAAATCCACCATGATGTTTTCTGGAATCTGTTGGTCCTTTCACATCCATGATGACAGACACATTTGGGATTCAGTCAATGTCCACCTGTTGATTTTAGCAACGTCGCAAAGTGATGTCATCAATCTTTATCCTGTGGCTGGCTCGTTTAGGAACCTTTATCTTAGAGAGAGAAGACACAGTCATTCAGACCTCTTCCCTCCTCTCCTCTCAGAATGTCAATTTAGTACTTTAGACCAGAGACACATGATCATTTTATCATTCTATCACTCTTTCAAATGACACAGACTGAAACTTTCCACTCAATCATCTCAGTCACTTGGCTAATGGATTTTGGATCCAGCCTGTCCGTCAGTCTGTCGGTCAGTCAGTCTGGCCATCTGTCAGTCAGTCAGTCAGTTTTTAGTTGTTAGAACTCCTCTGTTCCATCTGTGTGTAGTGAGGTAGAACCACAGAGAGCCGTGGAGTCTGGAATGGGTTCTGCTTGGCTGATCACATAGAACCACCAGTCTGCTGAGGCGGTACCGGTACAAACGTCGGACTCATCACTTTTACTCCCCACAGAGGATATTCAGTTTTAGGGCTCTGTCTTGGACTCTAAGGTCTGAATAGTACTCTCAAGGGCTGCGTTCACAGAGCACACTGAACTTTTTTTTCCACTAATTGGTCTTTTGACCAATCACATCAGATATTTTCACAGTGGTCAAAATACCAATCTAAACGCAGCCTGTGTTGCCTTGAAACATAGTTGGGATTTGTTTCTGATGTCAGTTTTGAGGATTCCAGCTGATATATCATTCCACTTGAATTTATAGTAGCCTATCAACCAGTGAGCTGTTTTGAATTAATTCTACTGTCGACAAGTTCTTACTAGCTCCACAAGGGGTCATTATGACTCCAATTCTGACTCCATTAGTAAAAGACAATAACAGAAGGTGAAGGTGACCGCACATACTTCATTTCAATCATTTCTGTGCTTCTGTAGGAGGAACATTTTCAAGGTGGAATATACATTCATAATTTATCTGGTAAAGAAAAGGAGTAGGTTGGACTGTATCTTAGGCTAGGTTGAGGAGTGAAATTGCAACTATGGTGTATCGGTCAGGATATAGGAATGTTGCTTGAGGACAAGGTTTCCAGTTCAGGGTATTCATTTATTAACTAACTAATAAAGGCCCAGCACAAGGACACAGGAGAGCACATGGGGAGTAGGATGGAGATATAGAATGGCTTGCCAGCCTGGTAGCTAAGGTTGTCTGAAAGGATGTTGTGGTTCTGGAGGATACAAAAGTGAAGCTCAGTTGGTAGAGCATGGCGTTTGCAACGCCAGGGTTGTGGGTTGGATTCCCACGGGGGGCCAGTATGAAAAATGTATGCACTCACTAACTGTAAGTCGCTCTGGATAAGAGCGTCTGCTAAAAAATGACAAAAAATAAAATAAAACATTAGCATACATACGAAGTGCCATAACTAATAGGAGAATGTAAAAAGGTATAACACACAGGCTAACAGGAACAAAGGACATCACTGGTAACTAAAGAATTCCCCAAACCATCACACTACCACCACCATGCTTGACCGTTGGTATGAGGTTCTTACTGTGGAATGCAGTGTTTGGTTTTCGCCAGACATAATGGGACCCATCTCATCGAAAAAGTTTATTCAAGTTTGCCAAAAAGCACCTGGAAGCACCTGGATGATCATCAAGACTCTTGGAAGAATGTTCTATGGACAGATGAGTCAAAAGTATAACTTCTTGGATGACATGGGTCCCATTATGCCCGGTGAAAACCAAACACTGCATTCCACAGTAAGAACCTTATACCAACAGTTAAGCATGGTGGTGGTGTAGTGAAGGTTTGGGGATGCTTTGCTGCCTCAGGAACTGGACGACTTGCCTTAATAGAAGGAACCATAAATTCTGCTCTGTATCAGACAATTCTACAGGAGAATGTCAGGCCATCCGTGTGTGAGCTGAAGCTGAAGCGCAGCTGGGTCATGCAGCAAGACAAAGATCCAAAACACAGAATCAAGTCTACATGAAAATGGCTAAAAAGCAACACATTTGAAGTTTTGGAATGGCCTAGTCAAAGTCCAGACCTATTCCCAATTGAGATGTTGTGGCAGGACTTGAAACAAGCAGTTCATGCTTGAAAACCCACAAATGTGGCTGAGTGGAAGAGTGGGCCAAAATTCTTCCACAGCGACGTGAGAGACTGATCCATAACTACAGGAAGTGTTTGGTTGCAGTCATTGCAGCTAAAGGTGGCACAACCAGTTAATAATATGCCATTTAGCAGACGCTTTTATCCAAAGCGACTTACAGTCATGCGTGCATACATTTTTGTGTATGGGTGGTCCCGGGGATCGAACCCACTACCTTGGCGTTACAAGCACCGTGCTCTACCAGCTGAGCTACAGAGGACCACAAGTTACAGTTGTTGAGTGTAAGGGGGCAATTACTTTTTCACACAGGGGCATTGGGTGTTGCATAACTTTGTTTATTAAACTTTGTTTAATAAAGAAAATAAGTATGTAATTGTTGTGTTATTTGTTCAATATGGTTCCCTTTATCTAATATCAGGTTTTGGTTGAAGATCTGATAACATTCAGTGTCAAAAATATTTAAAAGTAGAGAAAATTAGAAAGGGGGCAAATACTTTTTCACAGCACTGTATATATATATATATACAGCACTGTATATATATATATATATATATATATATATACAGTGCATTCGGAAAGTATTCAGACCCCTTGACTTTTTCCACATTTTGTTACATTACAGCTTTATTCTAAAATTGTTTTTCTTTTTAAATCTCTCATCAATCTACACACAATACCCCAGAATGACAAAGCGAAAACAAGTTTTTAGAATTGTTTGCAAATGTATAAAAAAAACAACAACTGAAATATCACATTTATTTAAGTATTCAGACCCTTTACTCAGTACTTTGTTGAAGCATCTTTGGCAGTGATTACAGCCTCAAGTCTTCTTGGGTATGAGTCTACAAGCTTGGCACACCTGTATTTGGGGTAAGTAGTATTCTCCTGGCATCCGCCAAACCCAGATTCGTCCGTCGGACTGTCAGATTGTGAAGCGTGATTCATCACTCCAGAGAACACGTTTCCACTGCACCAGAGTCAAATGGCGGCAAGCTTTACATCACTCCAGCCAACGCTTGGCATTGCGCATGGTGATCTTAGGCTTGTGTGCGGCTGCTCGGCCATGGAAACCCATTTCATGACGGTCCCGACGAACAGTTCTTGTGCTGACGTTGCTTCCAGAGGCAGTTTGGAACTCGGTAGTGAGTGTTGCAACTGAGGACAGATGATTTTTAAGTGCTACGTGCTTTAGCACTCGGCAGACCCATTCTGTGAGCTTGTTTGGCCTACCACTTCGCGCCGGAGCCGTTGTTGTGCCTAGACGTTTCCACCTTACAATAACAGCACTTACAGTTTACCGGGGCAGCTCTACCGGGGCAGAAATTTGACAAACTGACTTTTTGGAAAGGTGGCATCTTAAAACGGTGCCACGTTGAAAGTCACTGAGCTCTTCAGTACTGACAGTGTTTGTCTATGGAGATTGCATGGCTGTCAGCAACGGTGTGGCTGAAATAGCCGAATCCACTAATTTGAAGGGGTGTCCATATACTTTTGTGTGTGTATATGTATATATACACACACAGGCTAGGAAGTTAGCATTATACAATCTCCAAACATATGAAAAGGCACTTACTTAAACTCAGGTATGCACAACATGGGCTGCGTTTAGACAGGCAGCCCAATTCTGATATTTTTTAACTAATTGGTCTTTTGACCAATCAGATCAGCCTTAAAAAAGATCTGACGTGAAAAGATCTGATGTGATTGTTCAAAAGATCAATTTGTGGAAAAGATTATCAGAATTGGGCTGCCTGTCTAAACGCAGCCATGGACAGGGACGGGGACGGGGACGGGGACGGGGAAAGACTTGGGCCGCCCCATGCCACCAAACATTAAGGAAAACACAAGCTGCTTTATACCAGAGGAATGTGAGAGGAATGGTGATTAGCAGAGTGATTTCAGGTGTGGTGAGTTGACAGGATAGGGGGAAGTCCAGAGGGTAATTGGAAGTTGGTAGAATTTGCATGATGCTTCAGAACAGTTGGTTTAGACATATGTGAATGTGTGTGTGGGTACACATGTGCGTGTATCTGCTATCACTCTGTGTTATTGAGTATAACAGACAGGGCAGGTTTTGATGGAGGATGGTAGTGAGGGCAGGTTTGATGGCTCCAGTGGTGATTGAGGGAGGCAGGTGGTGGTGATAATGATACCCCAGGAGGAAGCACTCTGAGTGGAGGCCGTGGAGAGGGTGAAGGGGGTTCTTTGGAGGATGGCCAGAGGATTCAGACAGTGAAGGTGCAGCTGACTGTATGCCCTAATGGCTATTATTCTAGCCTTCAGAACCAAACACACTCACACACAAAAGCAAACATATTATTCCTCTCTTGCACACACACACACACACTCTCTCTCTCTCTCTCTCTCTCTCTCTCTCTCTCTCTCTCACACACACACACAAACACACACACACACACACGGCAGGTTATTAGGATTCTCAGCCAGGCACCTCTGGAGAAGCAGTAGGCCTGTCTCTATGTTCTAGTCAGCCATGCATGAGTACACTGCTGTACAGACCTGACTGCCAGACGAGAGGAGAGTAATGGAGAGATAGAGTAAAGGAGGGGGAGTCAGGAAGTAAAAGATAGAGGGAAAGGAGAGACCATCTGGAGTAGAGAGGAGAAAAGAGAGGAGGGCAAATTAGACAGAGAGAAGGATGAGAAACAAATGAGATAAAAGCAAGATGAAAGGAGGAATGAGTATGGAGTGAAGAGAGGTGGATAGAGAGACTAGAGGGGGCAGGAGAGAAGCAGAGGAGGATTCTTGGCTGGCCACAATAAGGGAAACAGGCCACTGGCACAGACAGGAGAGAGTGGGAATCAGAGGGATAAGATGAAGAAGACACATACATGGGAGAACAAGCTGCGAAGGAGGGAGAGGGCGAAACCTAGAAAGAGTGAGATGTGATGGAGTGAGAGAGGAAGAGTGGAGAGATAGAGAGTTGAGGATGTGGATGAGACTGATAGAGAGAGAGGGGTGTGAGAGGGAAGGGTAAATAGGGCTGGTGGTATGGCATGCCAGTTTAGCGTGGGCAAAAAAGGAACATATATATATATATATATACGCATACAAAATGAGAGAAGGAGAAAAGGAGAGAGTGATATAAAGGTTGAGAGAGAGGGATCTGAGTGAAAGAGAGTGGTTATTAATTTCTGTAGATATGTAAACCGGGATGTGCCATGATCAGTCAAGCGCATCTGAATTAGAGCGAGAGAGAGATAGAGAGAGGTATATTGAGAAGGAGGTCAAAAATTGATAGAGCGTGATGGACACTTGTGTTGTCATAAAGCTCCTAATTGCTTGTCTCCCGCTGTTCAAATCCCATTTCAATACATATGACCTGAGAAGACACACACACTACACACACACTCAAACAAATCACATTGATTAAGACCAGAGGTGCCACCCGTCTGTCACCATGGATACGGCTCAGCAGCATGATAGAGGAAAGTTAATCTGAGTTTAATACTTAAAGATGTCTGTCTGACTGTCTGCACCGCTCTCCTGATAGCACTGATAGATGGCGCGAGGGAGACGACGAGGGAGGAAAGGAGGGAGGGAAGCTCATATCTAAATGCTAGAAGGGAGGGATAGAAAGAGAGAGGGATGGAGAGGATTTTAATATCGGAATGATGAGCTAGAGCGAGAGAATATTTGTATTAAAAGTCAGTAATTTACTGATCTGCAGCATTGATTTCACTGATTATAGAGAGACAGTGCGATAAAGAGAAAGATAGAGACAGAAAGAGATTGGAGGGAGAGAGTGGCACTGAAGAAAGATAGAGAAGAGAGAAAAGGAAAGATGGAAAAGAAAGTTAGAGAGAGAGAGGGAGAGAGACCATATGAGAGCCTGTGTTCATATGAGTCTCCTGGGGGAGTAGATGAGCAGAAATTGGGTTTGGATTACACATACAGAGCAGAGGTGAGTCACCACCATTCTCCCTCGTAGGCAGTGTGTGTGTGGTGTCTTGTACTCCCTCCCTCTCTCCTGTCAGTGAGGTGCTCTCCTGAGGGTTAAGGCTTACTGTGTCTCTGAAGGCACCTACTGTGACCAGCTGTTAGGGAACTAGACAGAAGCGTTTAATGATGGCTCACCACCCTGCATCAACTGGTCTGCTCTCTGTGTGTATAGGAGGGGTAGTGGGAGGCGGCGACTGACAGAATATTATACAGTGGGCAAGGAGAGTTTAGGCAGGTAAATCATATAGAAAGTACTACTGTATCTCTGCAGACAAGTAGGGATATCCGTGTATGTCATAAGCTTCTATTAGAAATCATTTTCTATCCTTTTCCCTGCCTAATAAAAATGTAAATCATATTTCTAAATACATGTAAAGAGTCTTGCATATTGAAATGAGTTTGGCATGTGAGCCCCAGGTCAGAGGAAAGTGAATTCAATAAACATTAGCAAGGATCAATGGATGGACTGTCATATGGTGATATGAATACTGTTCCACATGAGAACATTGTCCAATAGAGAAAGAATTCAGTTTTATTCAACCATGTACTACAGCACATCGAGCTGACACATGGCAGATGGGTTAGTTGTTTAATAAGTTACTACAGAGAGAGAGTGAGTCTTGGAGGTTAAGCAGTGTGTGGCTCTAAGCGCTGGAAGAGGAGAGGTTTATTGAAGTACACACACAGGCCTGTGGTCGACATCTCTCATCCCCTTCACCCCTCCCTCGTGCTCTGCCACTCTATGAATATTTATTGACAGGATTGTGTCCAACTGTGTGTTCTTTAGGCAAAGTGTATGTTTAGCACACTCCAAACCCCCTCAGAGCTTGGGTCTCTGACAGGGCTAGCTAGAGCACTGTAACCTCATTTGACCAACCTGTTCTCGTGAAACGAAACAAGGGCGCAGCAGATCACGCCATGAGCACGGAGACTAAAAGCAGAACCGAATGGACTGGACTAGACCAGACATTACCAACCTTTTCCGTTCTGTGCACAACCAGAAACAGGAGAACTGGCTTTGCCTCTTCATTGAGCTTTCCTGGTGGGGGGATAATGTGTTGGAATTGGACATGACTCATCAGCTATTTCATCAGTGCCAGCTCATAAACTCTACTAAAAGAACATTACACTCTCGTTTATAGACTCATGCTTGCGTGTGCATCCATGTGTTTCCCCAGGGTGGAGGAGAGCTTTAAGACCCTGTTCTGGTCCATCTTCGGTCTGTCAGAGGTGATCTCCGTGGTCCTGAAGTATGACCATAAGTTCATAGAGAACATTGGTTATGTGCTGTTCGGGGTCTATAACGTCACAATGGTGGTGGTTCTACTCAACATGCTCATCGCTATGATCAATAGCTCCTACCAGGAGATAGAGGTCAGTCCTATTAATAAGTAATTCATATAGAGGTCAGTCCTATTAATAACTCATTCATTCCTGAGTGGCGCAGTGGTCTAAGGCACTGCATCACAGTGCTAGATGTGCCACTAGAGATCCTGGTTCAAATCCAGGCTCTGTCGTAGCCGGCCGCGACCGGGAGACCCATGGGGCGGCGCACAATTGGCCCAGCGTCATCCAGGGTACGGGAGGGAATGGCCGGCAGGGATGTAGCTCAGTTGGCATGGTGTTTGCAACGCCAGGGTTGTGGGTTCGATTCCCACGGGGGGCCAGTATGAAGAAAAAATTATAAAAATAATGTATGCACTCACTAACTGTAAGTCGCTCTGGATAAGAGCGTCTGCTAAATGACTAAAATGTAATTAGGAATTATCCAATCATACAATGGTTGCGTTATGATAATGTTTAGCTGAAGAAACGAATATTCAGTGTGAAATATTTGTTAATACCAATGTATGTTTATGTGTGCGCCTGCATTTATTTGTTTGTGTCTGTATGTCCATGTGTGTCTGTCCCCTCCAGACTGATGCAGATGTAGAGTGGAAGTTTGCCCGTGCCAAGCTGTGGATGTCCTACTTTGACGAGGGTCGCACTCTGCCCACTCCCTTCAACATGGTGCCTTCTCCCAAGTCCTGGTACTACCTGGTCCTCCGCACCAAGGCCTGCATCGTTCACCTCTGCAAGGCCAAGGGGTGTCGCCATGACAACGAGCTAGAGATGGGCATGCTCAACTCAGGACTCAAGGTCAGAGGGGAGAGGGCAAAGGTCCAAAGGCAAACCCTAATTGTATCAATACATACTGTAGATGCTAGTAAGTGTTTGATCTTATACAAAGCCTTCCTATCACACTCTAAGCCTTAACCAGCTTTCCTACCTGTTACCACAAATACAGGGGTGACACCCGCCCGGCTAACCTAGTGTGTAAAACAGTGGGTTATCTACGTGTGAATGTACACCTATGGGCAGAACTACCTTTCCCTTCTCCAGGACCCAGGTAGGGTGGAGTACAGCAGGAGGACAGGCTGGAACACAACCAATAACCAAATCCAAAAATCCTCAAACAGCCAAACAAAAAGTGCCCCCTCTCTCTCCCTCTAGCTCACACGACAAACAGTTTATATGCTCTAGTCAGTCAGTCACTCAACCACAGCTGCCAGGACTCCGGACCGAAGCCACGCCCACAATCGTCAGCCGCAACTCAGCACACCTGTAATAACCAGAACACACAAACAGAACAACCACTCTGAACCAAACACACACTACAAAGGACGATTGGGAGAAAGAAAAACATGTCACACGTAACACCAAGGCACAGTTGACATCTAGGGCACAGCCAGATCTAAATGGCATTGCACAATGTTTTGCCAAAGCTATTGCTGAAGCTGCTTGGTTTATTTTGGTGGTGGATGTGTTGTGGAGACTATTGGATGTATTTCAAAAGCTTCAGAATGTAGTATAGGAGCTATTGAATATGCCCGCTCCTTCCTAATGTTTAACCTGGTTTATAGAGGCAGGATCAGTTTCATAGAACTGCCTCTGTGGGTAGACATATATCTGATGGCTTGGCTATGAAACACAACTGAGCAGAGCATTACGTGAGCAATCGATAGATAGACTCACACTACACCTTTGGAAGACGTGAAAAATGTCAAGTGAGTTTGTAGGAGTAAACTACAGCTATTTCTCTCTTTCTGAAAGAGACATGCATGTATACAGCAACCTCCTTCACTTTTAGAGTGTTTGTGTACATTGTGTTTGTAACTGTTGTTATTGTGTGTGTGTGTGTGTGTGTGTGTGTGTGTGTGTGTGTGTGTGTGTGTGTGTGTGTGTGTGTGTGTGTGTGTGTGTGTGTGTGTGTGTGTGTGTGTGTGTGTGCGTGCGTGCGTGCTAGTATGCAGGGCTAGTGCACAGGTTAGTGGGTGTGTGTCTGTCTGGGGTTTCAGGAGCCATTGCAGTTTGGCGCCATGTCTTGTTTTGCCATGCCACTGATGATGACAAGCTTGGCAGCTTTACGAGCCCCAGAGCTGTGTGTGTATATCTGTGCGAGCACATGTGTGTGTGTTTGAATGTATCTCCTGCCAAAATGAAAATAAGGACTTGTAGGACACTAAGTAAATCTAGAAGAGGACATTAAAACCAGGTCATTGAAATTTAGCAGAGCCGAGTGTGGTTACATCACCACACAGTGACACAATACACATTATTCCAAGATAACAGGAATCATGTTTGTGCCACAGAAAAGATAACATATTATACAGTATTATTTTGTATCTATTTATATAGACGTCCCGAAGTCATATATATATATATATATATACAGTGGGGGAAAAAAGTATTTAGTCAGCCACCAATTGTGCAAGATCTCCCACTTAAAAAGATGAGAGAGGCCTGTAATTTCCATTGAGAATTTTTTTTCCAGAAAATCACATTGTATGTTTTTTATGAATTTATTTGCAAATTATGGTGGAAAATAAGTATTTGGTCACCTACAAACAAGCAAGATTTCTGACTCTCACAGACCTGTAACTTCTTCTTTAAGAGGCTCCTCTGTCCTCCACTCGTTACCTGTATTAATGGCACCTGTTTGAACTTGTTATCAGTATAAAAGACACCTGTCCACAACCTCAAACAGTCACACTCCAAACTCCACTATGGCCAAGACCAAAGAGCTGTCAAAGGACACCAGAAACAAAATTGTAGACCTGCACCAGGCTGGGAAGACTGAATCTGCAATAGGTAAGCAGCTTGGTTTGAAGAAATCAACTGTGGGAGCAATTATTAGGAAATGGAAGACATACAAGACCACTGATAATCTCCCTCGATCTGGGGCTCCACGCAAGATCTCACCCCGTGGGGTTAAAATGATCACAAGAACGGTGAGCAAAAATCCCAGAACCACATGGGGGGACCTAGTGAATGACCTGCAGAGAGCTGGGACCAAAGTAACAAAGCCTACCATCAGTAACACACTACGCCGCCAGGGACTCAAATCCTGCAGTGCCAGACGTGTCCCCCTGCTTAAGCCAGTACATGTCCAGGCCCGTCTGAAGTTTGCTAGAGTGCATTTGGATGATCCAGAAGAGGATTGGGAGAATGTCATATGGTCAGATGAAACCAAAATATAACTTTTTGGTAAAAACTCAACTCGTCGTGTTTGGAGGACAAAGAATTCTGAGTTGCATCCAAAGAACACCATACCTACTGTGAAGCATGGGGGTGGAAACATCATGCTTTGGGGCTGTTTTTCTGCAAAGGGACCAGGACGACTGATCTGTGTAAAGGAAAGAATGAATGGGGCCATGTATCGTGAGATTTTGAGTGAAAACCTCCTTCCATCAGCAAGGGCATTGAAGATGAAACGTGGCTGGGTCTTTCAGCATGACAGTGATCCCAAACACACCGCCCGGGCTACGAAGGAGTGGCTTCGTAAGAAGCATTTCAAGGTCCTGGAGTGGCCTAGCCAGTCTCCAGATCTCAACCCCATAGAAAATCTTTGGAGGGAGTTGAAAGTGTGTTGACCAGCGACAGCCCCAAAACATCACTGCTCTAGAGGAGATCTGCATGGAGGAATGGGCCAAAATACCAGCAACAGTGTGTGAAAACCTTGTGAAGACTTACAGAAAACGTTTGACCTGTGTCATTGCCAACAAAGGGTATATAACAAAGTATTGAGAAACTTTTGTTATTGACCAAATACTTATTTTCCACCATAATTTGCAAATAAATTCATAAAAAATCCTACAATGTGATTTTCTGGGAAAAAAAATTATCATTTTGTCTGTCATAGTTGACGTGTACCTATGATGAAAATTACAGGCCTCTCTCATCTTTTTAAGTTGGAGAACTTGCACAATTGGTGGCTGACTAAATACTTTTTTTCCCCACTGTATATACAGTGAGGGAAAAAAGTATTGATCCCCTGCTGATTTTGTACGTTTGCCCACTGACAAAGAAATGATCAGTCTATAATTTTAATGGTAGGTTTATTTGAACAGTGAGAGACAGAATAACAACAAAACAATCCAGAAAAACGCATGTCAAAAATGTTATAAATTGATTTGCATTTTAATGAGGGAAATAAGTATTTGACCCCCTCTCAATCAGAAAGATTTATGGCTCCCAGGTGTCTTATACAGGTAACGAGCTGAGATTAGGAGCACACTCTTAAAGAGAGTGCTCCTAATCTCAGTTTGTTACCTGTATAAAATACACCTGTCCACAGAAGCAATCAATCAATCAGATTCCAAACTCTCCACCATGGCCAAGACCAAAGAGCTCTCCAAGGATGTCAGGGACAAGATTGTAGACCTACACAAGGCTGGAATGGGCTACAAGACCATCGCCAAGCAGCTTGGTGAGAAGGTGACAACAGTTGGTGCGATTATTCGCAAATGGAAGAAACACAAAAGAACTGTCAATCTCCCTCGGCCTGGGGATCCATGCAAGATCTCACCTCGTGGAATTGCAATGATCATAAGAACGGTGAGGAATCAGCCCAGAACTACACGGGAGGATCTTGTCAATGATCTCAAGGCAGCTGGGACCATAGTCACAAAGAAAACAATTGGTAACACACTACACCATGAAGGACTGAAATCCTGCAGCGCCCGCAAGGTCCCCCTGCTCAAGAAAGCACATATACAGGGCCGTCTGAAGTTTGCCAATGTACATCTGAATGATTCAGAGGAGAACTGGGTGAAAGTGTTGTGGTCAGATGAGACCAAAATCGAGCTCTTTGGCATCAACTCAACTCACCGTGTTTGGAGGAGGAATGCTGCTTATGACCCCAAGAACACCATCCCCACCGTCAAACATGGAGGTGGAAACATTATGCTTTGGGGGTGTTTTTCTGCTAAGAGGACAGGACAACTTCACCGCATCAAAGGGACGATGGACGGGGCCATGTACTGTCAAATCTTGGGTGAGAACCTCCTTCCCTCAGCCAGGACATTGAAAATGGGTCGTGGATGGGTATTCCAGCATCACAATGGCCCAAAACACACGGCCAAGGCAACAAAGGAGTGGCTCAAGAAGAAGCACATTAAGGTCCTGGAGTGGCCTAGCCAGTCTCCAGACCTTAATCCCATAGAAAATCTGTGGAGGGAGCTGAAGGTTCGAGTTGCCAAACGTCAGCCTCGAAACCTTAATGACTTGGAGAAGATCTGCAAAGAGAAGTGGAACAAAATCCCTCCTGAGATGTGTGCTAACCTGGTGGCCAACTACAAGAAACGGGTTTTGCCACCAAGTACTAAGTCATGTTTTGCAGAGGGGTCAAATACTTATTTCCCACATTAAAATGCAAATCAATTTATAATATTTTTGACATGCGTTTTTCTGGATTTTTTTGTTGTTATTCTGTCTCTCACTGTTCAAATAAACCTACCATTAAAATTATAGACTGATCATGTCTTTGTCAGTGGGCAAACGTACAAAATCAGCAGGGGATCAAATACTTTTTTCCCTCACTGTATATATATATATATATATGCCGTTTTTTTGAGCATGAGCATGGCCTTATTTCTATTACAGAATATTGGATGACTGTCATTCATATTCCATTCATCCAGTTCAATGCAACATCGACAGGTTTAGGCTACTACATGATTTTCCCTATACCCATCAAGAGGTTGCTACAACCTAGACTATGAATTAAAGATTACAACGTAGGTGCACACAGGTTGAGAGAAAATCACATTTACACAAGTATTCAGTACCTTTCGCAGCGATTACAGCCTTGAGTCTTCTTGGGTATGACGCTACAAGCTTGGCACACCTGTATTTGGGGAGTTTCTCCCATTCTTCTCTGCAGACCCTCTCAAGCTCTGTCAGGTTGGATGGGGAGAGTCGCTGAACAGCTATTTTCAGGTCTCTCCAGAGATGTTCGATCTGGTTCAAGTCCGGGCTCAGGCTGGTCCACTCAAGGACATTCAGAGACTTATCCCGAAGCCACTCCTGCGTTGTCTTGGCTGTGTGCTTAGGGTCGTTCTCCTGTTGGAAGGTGAACCTTCGCCCCAGTCTGAGGTCCTGAGCACACTGGAGCAGGTTTTCATCAAGGATCTCTCTGTACTTTGCTCCGTTCATCTTTCCATCGATCCTGACTAGTCTCCCAGTCCCTGCCGCTGAAAAACATCAAGCACTATGATGAAACTGGCTCTCATGAGGACAGCCACCGAAAAGGAAGACCCAGAGTTACCTCTGCTGCAGAGGATAAGTTCATTAGAGTTAACTGCACCTCAGATTGCAGCCCAAATAAATGTTTCACAGAGTTCAAGTAACAGACACATATCAACATAAACTGTTCAGAGGAGACTGCGTAAATCAGGCCTTCATGGTTGAATTGCTGCAAATAAACCACTACTAAAGGACACCAATAAGAAGAACAGACTTGCTTGGGCCAAGAAACATGAGCAATGGACATTCGACCGGTGGAAATCTGTCCTTTGGTCTGATGAGTCCAAATTTGAGATTTCTGATTCCAACCGCCGTGTCTTTGTGAGACACAGAGTAGGTGAACAGATTATCTCCACATGTGTGGTTCCTACCGTGAAGCATGGAGGAGGAGGTGGGATAGTGTGGGGGTGTTTTGCTGGTGACACTGTCTGTGATTTATTTAAAATTCAAGGCACACTTAACCAGCATGGCTACCACAGCATTCTGCAGCGATACGCTATCCCATCAGGTTTGCGCTTAGTGGGACTGTCAATTGTTTTTCAACAGGACAATGACCCAAAACACACCTCCAGGCTTTGTAAGGTCTATTTGACCAAGGAGAGTGATGGAGTGATGCACCAGTTGACCTGTCCTCCACAATCACCCGACCTCAACCCAATTGAGATGGTTTGGGATGAGTTGGACCACATAGTGAAGGAAAAGCAGCGAACAAGTGCTCTGCATATGTGGGAACTCCTTCAAGACTGTTGGAAAAGCATTCCTCATGAAGCTGGTTGAGCGAATGCCAAGTGTGTGCAAAGCTGTCATCAAGGAAAAGGGTGGCTACTTTGAAGAATCTCAAATATAATTTGTTGAACACTTTTTTGGTTACTACATGATTCCATATGTGTTATTTCATAGTTTTGATGTCTTCACTATTATTCTACAATGTAAAAAACAGTAAAAATAAAGAAAAACCCTTGAATGAGTAAGTGTGTCCAAACTTTTGACTGGTACTGTATATATAACTCATGTTGTGTTGTTGCAGGGCAAACGCTACAGAGCCCACGGTCGACCACGAGAGGAGTCTACTCTCAGAAAACCCATTAAACATCCCACCAGATATCAGGTACGAGAGAATGAGAGATATATAGAAAGTAAGCAAGAAAGAAAGAAAGAAAGAGGGGAGAGGGGTGTAGAAGGGGGAGGTAGAGGTAATAGGTGATAAATATCAGAGGGGAATGGGTGGGCAAAGAAGGAAAGAGAACGAGACGACTCCATATAGATTTAATGAGGTATCGAGATGACTCCATATAGATTTAATGAAGTATCGAGAAATTGATTTAGTGGGAGCAGGTAATAGCTGAATAAATGAGCAGGAGTGTGGAGTGATTCACTGAATGGGGAAAATGATGAATGAGGAAAGGTCTTTCTGTCCTCCACCTTTTCCCTATGGGAAATCTTCTCTCTTCCTCCGTCATGAGGTCATTCTATTGTGCCTCTCACACACCATTATGCTTCTCTCTAAAAGCCTTTCTCCTGACACACACACACTGCATTTAGGTATGTCAGGTCAGCTTCTCACAGTGAATGTGTATGTAGTGCACGCAGGGCAGCAGGTAGCCTAGCGGTTAAAGCATTGGGCCAATAACCGAAAGGTCGCTGGTTCGAAACCCCTGAGCTGTAAAGGTGAAAAATCTGTCAATTTGCCCTTGAGCATGGCACTTAACCCTAATTTGCTCCACATACCACTGGCTGATCCTGTAAAACAACAAATTTCACTGCACCTATCTGGTGTATGTGACAATACAACATCTATATATATTTGACAGGTTCCCAGAGTGTTTTAATGCACGGACAGACTGAGTGGGTCTTAGAGAGAGCTACAGGAGTGTAGTGTATAGGTTTCAGATCAATACTTACCATTCAGAACTGAACAGTGTGACACAGTGTGAGAGTGTAGTGTGTGTGTGTGTGTGTGTGTGTGGGGGTGGGGGGGGGGGGGGTGTATGTCTGGATGTGTGTGTGTTTAATAGAGATTATTGTCAGCTTTCATAACCAACTCTCTCTTCTCCACTTCTCTCCCCTTCATATTTTTCTCACCTCTCCTCCTCCCTCTCTTCTCTGTCGTACTGCAGAAGATCATGAAGCGTCTCATTAAGCGCTATGTTCTGAAGGCTCAGGTTGACAGAGAGAACGATGAAGTCAATGAAGGTGAAAATCTAATCTCCTTTAACGTCGACGTTATGTACCTCACCAGATGCTACCTGCCTGGATGGGTATTGTCAGTGTGAGTGTGTGTACTGTATCCTGCAGAGTAACTTAAAGGACCACAGTCTGGTCCTCTCTCCTGAATGTTAGTTCATTCTTAACAGCATGTAATAGAACAGCAACGTTGTGAGTGTGTGTATGCATGTCCGTGTTCATGTGCGTGCATGTGTTTGTGTGTGTTTCACTCCTACATGTGCTGGTGTGTGTGTGTGACTCTGCCTGACTGTGTGTGTGTGTATCTGTGTGTGTGTGTGTTTTAGGTGAGCTGAAGGAGATCAAGCAGGACATCTCCAGCCTGCGCTATGAGCTTCTGGAGGAGAAGTCTCAGGCCACCGGAGAACTGGCTGACCTCATCACACAACTCAGTGACAAGTTTGTCAAGAACATCACCAAAAAACCCTGAGAGAGAGGGGCGAGGGGGAGAAGGGGTAGGAGAGAGGGGAGTGGGAGACATGAAAATACAGGGAGAGTGAGAGGTGGGAAAGAGGAGAGAGGGGGAGGGGACAGATAGAGAATTACAGAGAAAGAGAGAGAGCGAGAGAGAGTGATGGAGAGTGGATGAAAAGGAGGTCAGGGATGAGAGGTGAAAAGGTGGCTTTCAGGAGAGTAGATGTCCTGATCTAATTAGTGGAGGGAGGAGAGAGATGGGACAGGAGGAGAAGAGAGAAAGGGAGGAGATAAGTGGGACGGAGGGAGAAGAGAGGAGGCAGGAGAGAGGAAAAGTGACTAAAAGGGAGGAGGCTCTGAACAGCACGAGGGGAGTGTAGGGGATGTTTAGAGTAGAATTCTTCATCTTGGAGTAGAATTCTGAGGCAGCGACGAGAGGTCAACCTTCCAACACACACTGCCAAAATACATCAGCTCAACCTACCAGGGAGATTGGAACAGAGAGAGTAGAGCGGGAGACAGAGAGAGTAGAGAGGGAGACAGAGAGTAGAGAGGGAGAGAGAGGGAGACAGAGAGAGTAGAGATGGAGACAGAGAGAGTAGAGATGGAGAGATAGAGATGGAGACAGAGAGAATAGAGATGGAGACAGAGAGAGTAGAGAGGGAGACAGAGAGAGTAGAGATGGAGACAGACAGAGTAGAGAGGGAGACAGAGAGAGTAGAGATGGAGACAGACAGAGTAGAGATGGAGACAGACAGAGTAGAGAGGGAGAAGAGAGAGTAGAGAGAGAGAGAGAGAGAGTAGAGATTGATACAGATGGAGTATATTGGAGACAGAAGAGTAGAGATGGAGACAGAAAGAGTAGAGATGGAGACAGACAGAGTAGAGATGGAGACAGAGAGAGTAGAGATGGAGAGAGTAGAGAGGGAGACAGAGAGATAGAGATGGAGACAGAAAAAAGGGTGGAGAAGAGAGTGGAGGGACAGAAATAAAGGAGAAAGAATAAAGGGGGGGAAGGAAAGGATAGAAGAGAGAGTGAAGGGAAAAAGAAAAGGGGTGGGGGAAAAGAGGAGATGGGGAACGAGGGGAACCGAGGAAAAAGAGGGGAAGAAAGTAGAGAGGGGCAGGGGGAAATTTAAATGGAAAACAGAGAATAGAGTGGGGACAGAGAAGGGGAGAGGAAAGAGAGAAGTAAAGGGAGACAAATAGAGAGGGGGCGAAAGGGGAGGGGACAGAAAAAGGGAGAAATAGAGGGGAAAGAGAGGGAAAAGGGACAGAGTAGAGAGGGAGGAAGAGAGAGGGGGAAAAGAAAAAAGGGGAAAGAGAGGGAGAAGAAAAAAGGGAAGAAAGAGGAGGGAAAAGGTAAAAAAGAGGGAAAGGGGAAAAAGGGGGGGAGAGAGAAGGGTTTAAGAGGGGGGAAGGGGAAGAAAAAGGGGGAAAAGGAGAGAGAGGGGAAAAGAAAGAGAGGGAGACGAGAGAGTAAAGGGGGGGAAAGAGGAATTTGAGGGAGAGATAGAAGGGGGAAAAAGGGAAAAAAGGGGGAAAAAATAAAAGACAAAAGTAAGGGAAAGAGAGATAGAGATGGGAAAAGGGGAAAAGTGGGAACAAAGTAAGGGAAAAAAGAGTAGAGTGGGGACAGAAAAAAAGGGGAAAAGAGGGGGAAGGAGAGTTAGAGAGGGGAAAGGAAGGGTTTTTTCAGGGGGGGGAGAGAGAGTAAAAGGAGAAAAGGGGGAGAAAAGAAAAGAGAGAAGAGAAAAAAAGTAAGTGAGAGGAGGAAAAGGGAGAGAGAAAGAGAGGGGGGGGAAAAAAAAAAGGGGAAGAAAAAGAGGGAGAGAAGGAAGAGGAAAGAGAGGGAAAAGAGAGAGATAAAGGGAAAAAGTAAGGGAAAAGAGAGAAGGGGAGAAGACAGAGAGGGGGGGAAAAAAGGGGGGGAGGAGGCAAAGGTAAGAGGGAAAAGTAGAGAGGGAAAAGGAAAAATAGAGGGGGGGAAAAAGAGTAGAGGGGGAAGAGAAAAGGGGGGGGGGGGGAAAGTGAGGGGAAAAAAAGTAAGAGGGGAGAAAGGGGAAAAGAAAGGGGAGGAAAAGGGGGGGGAGAAGGGGAAGGTAGAAGGGGGACAGAGTTGGAGGGGGAAAAAGGGAGAGGGAGAAAGGGGGGAAAAGGGGGAGCCAAAAAAAGAAGGGGAAAAAGGGAGAAAGGGGAAAGGGAAAAGGGAAAAGAAAGGGGGCGAAAAGGGGAGAAGGGGTTAAAGAGAGGAGGGAGAAGAGAAGGGGGAAAAAGTAAGAGGGGGGAGAAGAGGAAAGAGAAGGGGGGAAGGGGGAAAAGGGGGGAAGGGAGAGGGGAAAAGAGGAGGGGAAAAAGAGGGAAAAAGTGAGAGGGGGACAGAGTGGAAGTAGAGGGAAAGGGGAAAAAAGAAAAAAGATTGAAGGGGGGAAAAGAAAAGACAGAAGGGGGGGAAAAGAGAGAGGGACCAGAGTGAGAGGGGGAAAAAAAAAAGGGGGGGGAGCGGTAAGAGGGGCCAGAGGGGGAGAGGGGGGGAACCCGGGGAAAAACAGAAAACAAAAGGGGGGAGGGGGGAGAAAAGAGAAGATTAGAAGAGAAGAAAGGGAAAAAGGGGGGGACGAGAGAGAAAAAAGAGAGTACGGGGGGGGGGAGAGAAAAAGGGGAAAGGGAAAAGGGGGAAAAGGGGAAAAGGAAGGAAGGGGGGGGAAAGGGGGGGAAAAAAGAGGGGGAAAAAGAGAAGAGAGAGAAAGAGGGGGAAAGAAGAGGGAGAAAAAAGTAGAGAGGGGGACAGAGAGAAAGGGGGCAGAGGGGGGAGAGGAAAAAGGGAAAGAGGGAGGGGAAATGAGAGGGGGCAGGGTGAGAGGGGAGAGAAAGAGGGGAAAAGGGGGGGAGGGAAAAAGGGGAAAGGGAGGGAGAGAGAGGGGGAAAGGGAGGGGGGGACAGAAAGGGGGGGAGGGAAAAGGGGGGAAAAGAGGAGAAAGGAGGAAAGAGTGGGGGGAAAAAAAAAGAAAGGAGGAGGAGAAGGAGAGATGGGCAGAAAAAGGGGGAGAGAAGGGGAGAAGAAGAGAAGAGAGAGAAGAGGGAAGGGGAGAAAGGGGAAAAGAGAGGGGAAGAAAAGAAAAAGAAAGAAAAAGGGGGGGGAAAAGGAGAAGGGATAGAGAGGGGGCCCGGGGAGTAGAGAGGAAAGAGAGTAGAGATGGGAAAAGAGGAGAGGGAAAAAAAGAGAGTTTGGGGACAGAAGATAGAGAGGGGAAAAGAGGAGTAGAGAGGGGACAGAAGGGGGTAGAAGGGAGACAGAGGTAGAGAAGGGAACAGGAAAAGTAGGAAGGGAAACAGAAAAAGAAAAAAGGAAAAATGGGAAAGAAGAGAGGAAAAAGAAGGAAAGGGGAAAGGGGAAGGGGGAAGAGAGGGGAGAAAAAAGAGAAGGGGGGGAAAAGGGGAAGAGGAGAAGAAGGGGGAGAAAGAGGGAAAAAATAAAAGGAAAGGGGGGGAAAAGGTAAAAATGAAGGGGAAAAAGAATAAGGGGAGGGGAGAAGGAGGGGAAAGATGAAAGGAAAAAGAAGGGGAAAGAAAAAGGGAAAAAAAGGGGATAGAGGGGGGACAAAAAGAAAAGAGGGGGGGAAAAAGGGGAGAAGGAGGGGGGAAAAGGAGGAGAAGGGGAAAGGGGAAAAGGGAAGAGAGGAAAAGAAAAGGGAAGAGGGGAGAAAGAAAGGAAAGAAGAAGGAGGGGGGGAGGAGGGAAAGAGGGGGAGAAGAGTAGAGAGGGGGACAGAGAGAAGGGAAAAAAGGAAAAAAGGAAAACGATAAAAGGGGGACAGAAAGAAGGGGGGAAAAAAGGGGGGAAAAAGGGGGGGGAAAAAAAGGGGAAAGGGATAAAGGGAAGAAAAAGGGGGGGCGAGAAGAAAAGATGGAAAAAGGGGGAAAGGGGGAAAAGGGAAAAGGGGGAAAAAGAGAGAGAGGAGAGAGAGGGAAAAAGGGAAAAGGGGAGCAGAGAATAGAGATGGAGAAGGGTAGGAGAGATGGGAAGAGAGGGAGAGGGGAAGGGGAAAAGGAAATGGGGACAGAAAGTAAAATGGGACAAAGGTGGGGGAGACAGAGAAGGGAGAAGGGAAAGAGGGAAAAGAGGGGAAAAAGGGAAAGAGGAAAGAGATGGGGAAGACAGAGTAGAGGGGAAAAGACAGAGGAGATGGGGGGAGACAGAGTAGAGAGGAGCAGAAGGGGGGAAAAGGTAAGAGGGGAAAAAGAGGGGAAGGGAAAAAAGGAGTAAGAGGGAGACAAAAAGGAAAATAAAAAAAAGAGGGGGGAAAAAAAAAAGAGGGAGAAGGGAAAGGAGAAGGGGGAAAGGGGGAGGGAAGAGAAAAAGGGGGGGGGAAAAAGAGAGGGGGACCAAAAAGGAAAGAGGGGGACAGAAGGGGTAGAGGGAGGAAAAAGAAGGGGGGAAAGAGAAGGGGGGAGGGGAAAGAAAAAAGGGGAAAAGGGGGGCCCAAAAGGCGAGGGAGGGAAAAAAAAGGGGGGGACATAGAGGGGGACAGAGAGGAGGGGAGAAAGTAAAGGGGAGAGAGAGGGCAAGAGTGAGAGGGCGACAAAGGGGGGAGGGAAAAGAGGGGGGACAGAGTAGGGGGAAAAGAGAAGGAGGAAAAAAGAAAGAGGGAGGAAACAGGAGAGAGGGAACAGAAAGAGGGGGAGGTGAGAGGGGGGGGAAAAGGGAAGGGGGGGGAGGGTAGAGGAGAAAAAGGGTAAAAGGGGGGAAAAAGGGTAAGGGGGGGAAAGGGGGAAAAGGGAGGGAAAGGGTAGAGAGGAACGAGTAGAGAGGGGGACAGAGTAGAGAGGGAAAGGGAGAGGGAGCAGAAGAGAAGGGGAAAAGGGGGAAAGAGAGAGAGGGAAACAGGTAGAAGGAGACAGGAAAAATAAGGGGGGGGAAAATAGAGGGAGTGAAGGTGAAGGGGGGGAAGAGGGGGACGGTAGAGGGGAGAAGAGGGGAGAGAGGGAGAGATAGAGAGGGGGGGGGGAAGGGAGGAAAAGGGAAAAAGTAGAGAGGAGCAGGGGGAGGGGGGGACAGAAGAAGGAAGGGGAAAAAGAGGGGAGACAGAGTAGAGAGGGAGACAAGAAAAAAGAGGAGACAGAGTAGAGAGGGGGTAGGGAGACAGAGAGGAGAAAGTGGGGAAAGGAAGGTAGGGGAAAAGGAAAATGAAGGGGAAAAGGGGAAAGGGGGGGAAAGGGGAGAAAAAGGGGGAAAAGGGGAGCAGAGTGGGGGGGTAGAGTAGAGGGGGGAGACAAAGAGAGGGCAGATAAGAGGGGAAAAGAGAAGGGGGGGGAAAAAAGAAGGGGAGGGGAAACAGAAAAGGGAGGGGAAAAGGAGGCAGGTAGAGAGGGGGGGCAGG